TGCTTCAAAGGTTGATTGAAACAATAATGCTTTCTGTAGTATACTATTAATTGCCATTTTTGCTCCACACGGTTTCCTTTTGCGCACAAGAGAAAGTGGTGTGCGTGGTCCTATTGTTGACCTTGTCCGGAACAAGAAATCCTTTGTGCAGTCTAACAAAGACCCTAAAATGGATCGGGATAGGAATATAAAATCGGATATCAACTCAAGATCTAATGTGTCAGCTGGCAGCGGTAGAAAAAATTCTTTCAATTGCCTGCAGATGTCCCAGCTAAACTGCAAATCAAATCCACCATTAGTAAATGTTAGAAATGTACTTTTGGGCGTCATTTTTGTTCGTTGTTGTAGTTAGGGAAGTTATGTTTCTTCATCAGGTAAAGTAGTGTGTTTCAGGCATTCCACAATGGCAAGACATAACATAGCTGCAAGGTCATGCATGGTCTTAGACTTCAGATCGCTTGGCTTGTGTCTCTTTTGTGATGCTATATTTTCAGAACCATATCGCTTTAATTTTTAATAAAACAATTTAAGTTGTATGTGTAATTGTGTGTGATCAGGAGGAGCAAAATCATTTTGTAGTTGCAGCTTTAGGATAGATGATAAGCCAAAAGCTGATAAACTTCAATTTTCAGAAAGCAAATGATGCGGTTGATGATGAATATTCGTGCATATCTGTAAACTTAATTCGTGTTTTTCAACTTTTTGGATATTATAAAGCATATCATCCTTTAGGATTTAGCTGCTAAAAAGAAAGTTTATACTCCCACTATTCCAATTTTTAATATATTTTTTAAGATATTTTAAAATTATATTTTAAAATATTTAAAACTGTTTTTTCATATTTTAAAATTATATTTTATATTTTTATATTTTTAATATTAAAAGTCATAAAATTTTAATTTTAATATTCAATATATTAAAATTAATTTTTTAAAACTTTATGAAAACTAATACAAAACAAATAAAAAAAAGCAAGAGTATTTTTTTTTGTAAAAAAATTTTTGAGATAAATAAATTATTTAATTTTTTAAATTGAGATAAGATCATAACTGATAGTATAAAATAAATAATTATATATTATATATTTAAAATAATCTTAATAAATAATTAACGTTAAAATTTAAACTTAAAATTTTTTAATTAAAAAAAACAAATTTAACGAATTAAATTAATTATTTATTGAAATGAAAAGAATATTTTTATTACATCCATGGTATCCTTCTTTTGTAAAGATGATTTGATTTATTATTGGAGTACGGTGAGAATAGACAAGTGGGAACTCGACAACCCAACAAACGAAAATTGTCAAAAGATGAATAGACGATGGCAATGCCGTTAAGAACGGTGAGGTTGATGTTAGCTCAAACTTAGCGTGCAAGTTCACAGCACTGAAAGGTTGGTAGTATTTTTAACCCAAAAAAAAAAAAACCGAAGTTATTATTATCGAATAAAAAAAAACCCAAACGTTGTTCTTATTCTGGTGTTGTTTTACGAGGGTTATTATTACATATTTTTTGAATTTTTACTAAACTAAACTGAACTTGACGTTTCAAATGTGAAACTGGTAAAAGTGAACACAGTTTTGGGACCCACGTAAGTGCAATCTTTTTCCACAACTTCTTGAGGAAGGAGTTTTTGCTCTACATATATTTCTTTTTCACCTCCGACTTAGATTTCAGAGGAGCACATCCTTTGTTCCTTCTTCTCTTAGAGGAAAAATATCCCCATGTCATAGCAGGAATTAGTCTTGGCTTTTGTTTCCCATCATCTTGTTGAGTTACTTTTTTGTTTCTCCCCATGAGCAGCTGTAGCTGCAACGACATAGTGGGATACAGATTCCACCCAACTGACAAAGAACTGATCGATCATTATCTATTGAATAAGGCACTCGATCGTGATTCTGCTGTCCAAATTATTGGTGAAGTCGCTGACGACCTCTGCGACTGGGAATCTGGAGAATTATACAGTTAAGTACTTTCAGACATAAAATTGATGGCCAAGCTGTTCCTTTCTATATTTTTTATTTCTGGGTTTTGCTTTTCAGGGTTTTCATTAAGAAGATACAGCCATGATGAAACGTGCTATGAAGAAACCCCAGGGTCAACAAAGACAACCAAAATTGGCACCAAGAAGACTTTGATTTTTTAACAGAGTCGTGTTCCAAAGGAAAATGGAGCCTTGGGTCAGGTACACATACTCTTCCTAACCAAGTATGTTCTCCTATGCTAACTCTGAATTATGTTATTATAGTTTACATTTGTTTCAATTTCTCTTTGGTTCCATGGATGTTTATGTTTTAGAAGCTCAATGATTTATCTTTGCTTATACTTATTCATTCGTAGGACTGATAGCAAATTTAAGTATTAAAGTTTGTGTGAATCCTGAATTTTGTTCTTCTTCTTTGGTCATTAATTCTGTTTTTTGAAATTCGATTTAGAAGGTTTTTTTCCTCTTTAAATTAAAAAGAAAAGATGATTTAAAACATGAAGCTTTTAATTATGTGATGCCTACGGAAATGGTAAAAGTATAATAAATTAATTATTTTCTCTAAATCAGAAATTTTCAGTTATCAATGTTGATGAGCTGCTGACAGAATTGAGAGAGACAAATGACTCAATGAACTTGAAAATGAGGTTGCATTTGCACAAAAAGCACAAATGTATGGGAAGCAAGCGCCTTCTACCTCATTCTTGTACAACCTTACTGATGATTTTGATGGGGTTCAAAATCAATCTAGCACCAATGAACAGAATGATGAGTTATATCTCGTATCTTCTACATTGCAATCTCAAATGCATGAGGAACATGTGCCTTCTTGTAATGTTGCTACATTCTTGTATAATCTCAGCATGATTTTGATGGGGTTCAAAATCAATCTAGCACCAATGAACAGACTGATGAGTTATATCATGTTTCTCCTACACTACAATCTCAGATGCACAAGGAGCATCTGCCTTCTTGTAACGCTGAACAGAATGATGAGTTATATCATGTTTTTTTTACACCACAATCTCATATGCACAATGAGCATGTGCCTTCTTGTAGTGCTGTCTCATTCTTGTACAACCTTGTTGATGATTTTGATGGGGTTCAAAATCAGTTTAGCACCAATGAACAGAATGATGAGTTATATCTTGTTTCTTCTACACTACAATCTCATATGCATAAGGAGCATGTGTCTTCATGTAATGATTCTTCATTCTTTAGTGGTTTTAATGGTAAATTTCATGAGATTCAAAATCAATCTAGTACCAATGAACAAGATGATGAGTTATGGAATAATATTTTTACCAACGATGATGATGCCTACCATGATGAAAGAAGAAATGAACTTTTTGTTGGGAGTGAGAGCTGTGATTTGTTCTTTGGCAGAAATTGTCCTATATAGAGCGGTCTAGGAAACGACCATGCATTAATGATGGTGGATTAAATGATGTCATGGAAGCTGAAGTGTCTCGAGCACGTGTAAAAACAGACTCTTAATTATAACACATGGACTCAAGTTGATTTCAAAAAATGTGTCATTTGGGGCATCACACAATGCGATCAGGTTATGCATCACATAACATTGTTTCTTGCTCCAATGGCATCATTTCATGGATTAAAACTTGGTTTGTCCAGCTCAAGTAAGGGTGAAAAGTTTTGCCTCAAATTGCATGTGAACTGCAAAGTTGATTTTATAGAAGAATAATGTTGTCACTTGAGAGCATTGTAATGATCTTATACTTGTTTTAGTAGGTGGGACAAGGAAAGAAATGAGAAAGCATGGAATTCTTTCCTCTTTTACCATTCCTTTAATCTCCCCATTTCCTCCTACATGTGTGGCTAAGAATTCTAAGGTTAGAATTTTAAAAATTATTATGGTACTCTTTTAAATGTTCTTTTGTAGATAAACCTTTTGATGTGCAGTACAACCATCAAGAACTATTTTTGTTTAATGAAAGTTGTTAAAGTGAATTGTGCTTTCTGAAATCTACCACTGATCAAATGCTTATACTTAACTGCATTCTTGGCTCTGTAACCCTGGAGAACTGGTACATGGTTTTTTGTTGATTTCTACATGTTATAGTATGGTCAGGCATTCGGAACTTCAAGCTTGTTTGTTCTTGCTGATTCATAATTTCCTAGAGATGTCATTGGTTGAAGCGCCGAATGTAGCTTTATTTTCATTGGACCATATTTTGCATGCAAGTAAAAGGAGGTTAGACATTCTCAATGGATTCAGAAAAGTGAGTGCCCCCTCTTTTGACTCTGCTGCAGATGTGGTTTTAATTTGTTCGCCAAAATACTCTATTGCTACAGGAATGAAAAGTCCTCAAAATTAACAAAAACCTCCCAAAGTATTAGTGGAGGAAGCTACTGTCAAAGAAATTTCTGTGCAGTGGAAATTCTTCAGGAAAATGGCCTCTGAAGACAAGGTGAGAGAATCAACCAGCATTCATCAAAAACATGAGGATGATCCTTTATTGAGAAATAATTCCTCAACATAAAGCTAGGATTTGTTTTCAGATTGCAATTTGCTGCTTGAAAACACTGATTCCTTTTGCAGGTTAGAGACGTTGAAGAACATGTCACTGCCATGGATGTGCCCCTAAAGGAAATCTAACGCAGACCAGAAAATGATAGGAGAAGCCAATGCAAGAATGAACTTGAAGGTGCATGAGGTTTGGCCTACTGACGGTGACCGGGGCTTCTTCACTTTCATGTATAAACGTCCATTTAGCCATAAATTCCATCTACCATTAGTGTATTATGTTAACACAGTCCTAGGCATACTTGTTCTGTAGTAGTATTTATTTTTTAATTGAATTTAAGTAGAAACTAGGAGGCATATGCTATTAATTTATATTTAATACATTATCACTATATACTACTAGTGAATCAGATGATATCATTTCATTAACAAGTAAGTTTTTTAATAATATTAATTTTTTGTATATTTATTTTAAAAGATAATATTTACTCATTAATTAGATGATATTATAATACATAAAATCTATACATGCATTAAATATAAACTCTATCCCTATTCCATTTAACTAATGTGGGTACTAACTCGACCTATCTACCATAATAATCGAGTTGGAGATGTTCTTAATCTCAGCATGGCGAGTTTACCTGAATAGCAGGGTTTTTGATTCGATAAGGAAGTTGCATTTTAACGTGAGTAAAGGTAAAACGTTTTGGGGTGAGAAAGGCTCAAACTCTCGACCTCAGGATAACTCAGTAAGCTATGAGACCTACGCGCTACTCAACTGCGCCACCACCCCATTTTTCCATTGGTTCCTGGTAATTAATCTATAATGTTAAATATGATGAGTGATGACAAGAATAAGTAAGCAAGGTTACCGAAAATGCCAATCATCAATTCGTGACCATGATGATGATACCAACTCATTCAGACCTTATCAATTTACAATCACCTTATTGTGGGCATTTGTTAGTCCAATTGAAACTTGGCTAGACATATTCATCTACTATAGGTACAAATGGGCTGGTTTTGGGTATCCAAAGAATAACAAGGAAGAATGGGTTGCTTCTACTTACCAAAAATAAAGATGACTCTGTTGCTTCTGTTTTGATGGGCCTTCCTTTCCAATCCATTATGACCAACAGTACATATAAAACACCTGCATCAACTGATGTACAATTCATATATGAATGAAGTGTGTATATATACAAACAACAACGATTAAAGCAGATGGATGGGTGAGGATTTGAAATTTTAAATATTTTATGAAAGAGATTAAAACTCGGCCAAAAGCACTTCCTCTCAAAAACATATTGAAGTGCTTGCATGCCTTGATGCCAATGGAAGAAAGTAAACAGCATATGGCATGGAAGATTCTAGAATGTCTAAAACTAATATTTGTTATATTCTCTGGGAATAAAGGGGGACATCAGGAACCAACAAAGCAAAGACAGGGAAAGTGATTGGATGATAATAATGGTCGACAGACTCTAGCACTTGGTGAGCAACTCCACTAACATTAAATATGAGGAAAAAAATTACTATACCGAAAAAGAACATAACAAAATACAAACTTTTTATCAATCCTTTTTACCGTGCAAGTCAAAAATCTAGATCCTTCCTATTCATTATTTAGCATTGCTGACTCTTTATTCTTTCTATGGCTGCACAAGGGCTTGCCACGTTGGAGCAATTATCTAAGCCTACAGCATCACCCCAAGCTCCTCAGTCCTGAAATTGGAAAAACTGGAAACACAGTTTCTGGGGGGTCCCATTCGCTTGGAATCTTAGGACACAAGTAACGTAGCTTCGGAGCAGCTCTCACTTCTCACTGCTCACTTGTGACTGCTTCGCTGTATAAAATCCACTCCATCCTTCACTCTCTCTTCTTGCAATTCTGCAAAGTGTTTTCTATCGTTCTCACTCTGACAGTAGTCTCGCTTTCTTTCTCTTGTTTCATCGTTTATTTTTCTTTCTTGTTTCTTCTAACAATTGGACGAAATGAGGAACAAAAAGGGATACCGAATAATTCAGCCAATCACCAATGAAGAACGATTTAGCAATTACTATTGCTATTACCTCTTCTGGGTTGCGGTTGGTTACTACTTGTGGAAAAAAATACTTAGCATAACGGGGTACAGATTCCATCCAACGGATTTCGAACTCCTCCATTACTATCTACAGAACAAAAACCTCGGCCGTGATGCTCTGGTCCAAGCTATTGCTGAAGTGGAAGATATCTGCGGATTAGAACCTTGGGAATTACCTGGTAAGTAATTATGTTAGATCACGCTGTCTAGTTTCAGACACCCTTTTGTCCAATCACATAATGTTTTTTATTGTCTTTTCGTCTTTTATTTGTAGGACATTCGAATATACACTCGGGTGATCAGGTTTGGTATTTCTTCTACCGGCCAAATTACAAGTACCGGAATAGTGCAAGGATCAAGAGGACAACCAACGAAGGATACTGGAAGCCGACGGGAAACCCTCGCAAGATAATGGCTAGGGATCTTCAGACCAAGATTGGCCAGAAAAGGACATTGGTTTTTTATAAAGGGCGTGTTAGTGACAGTAACAAAAACAAGACTGGATGGATCATGCATGAATATGAGCTCACTGCTACTCTTCCTAACCAAGTACGTTTCTTTAATATATGCTGCTTAATTACCATAATTTGTTATCATATTTTCAACAAATTTGGTAATTGATAACTTTTCTTTTTTTGTTTAAGTAAACTGCAAATTTTATTACTATAATTAAGTAGATATAAATTCAACAGTTATTTAAAATGATTATAAGTGTGATGATAGAAAACATCTAAAAATTTTTTTAATTAAGTTTAATAACATAATCAATACTTATGTGATTTATTATTAAAATTTTAATTTTTAATTTCAATAATCGAGATCAAATCCTACCAACTCAAATATAAAAAAAAGTGATAGCATAACGGTACATTTGATAATTTTTTTCCTTTGTTTTTTCATACTAGGTACTTAGATTGTTTTGTTCATTTATGTGTAGACAACTTTTGTTCTCTGCAAATTGAAGAGGAAGTATGGGAAGGATGAGGCTTCATGTATTGAAGATGGTGAGTCAAGTCACTATTTGCCTTCTAACTTGGAAAATTATATTGCAAATAATGCAATTCAGGCAGAGGCCGCTAGATGCCTTACGGTAATTTTCCCTTTTTTCATGACTATTATTGCTTTATCTTCCAAAGTCAATGAACATATGCACCGAAAACTATCATAATTTTTTGTCTATAAATGTGACACAGGACCAAACAGACCCTATTGAGATATTAGCACAGCCAAAACTGTTTAATGACCCTGAGGATCTAGAAAATAAATTTACAGAGTTGTGGAATACATATCTTATTGGTGATATTCCGGAAGGTTCTGATTTACCTTCCAAATTTGGAAACCATCTTGTTGAAAATGCAATTCCAAATGTAAGTTTTTATGAGAGGTTTTCAAAATAATTGTTAGTTATGTGGGTTAATTTTGATAAATGAATTCAATTTAAACTGATATTTACTTTTCTATGATTCAGTATCCAATATTACTTACTGAGGTACCAATCGAAGAAGTACCTCAAAATCAATCTGGCACCAATGAACAAGACAACAAGTTTGAGAACTTAGTTTCTGCTGATGAAAGTAGCAATAAACATAATTTAGTTGTTGGCAACGATGAATCTACCATGCCATCTAATTCCAAAAGTGCTACTGCAGAGGATCCAGTTAAAATGGTAAGATATGGCTTATGAGAAAATCTTTAATTTTTTATACATGTGGTGACTAAAAGCATTAATCTGGAATTTTATTGTTTCTTTCTGATTTAGGACTTGTCAAATTTGGATGAAGAATCAATGGATGAAGTGTTTGGAGATTTAGAAACGCTTCCAGAAGTAAGTTGCTATGTAAGAAAATTTTCACTACTATTGTTTGTCGATGAAAAGAGACAACGATAAACACATCAAAAACTGATGCAGCTGATTAATTTGTATTGTGATTCAGGTCCAAGGAAACGGATTTAGACAATCGTTTGATAATTGGAATTCAGAAGGCGAGACATTTGAAGCCCAAGAAATACCCAATGCTTCAGACGATCAATCTAGCACCAATGAAGAGCAAAATATAAGTGCTGCAAATGGAGGTTCTAGCGTGAACTTTGTTGGCATGATGGAGTCAACCCATTCCATAAATCCGGCCAGGAAAAGGCCACGCACTGATTATGAAGGATTTGGCTGCGATCTGTAGTCCAACTGGGGCAGAAAGAAACACCCTTTTTGTGGTACTGGGGTCTTTAGAAGGAATCACAGAAACAGTTTCAGATAAATATGGTTTTTATTTGGATTTGAACTAGTAGTTTATGCTAATAGCTTGTGAGAATATGACTGCAATTTAAACTAGATTCTATGCTGTTCCCTATATAGGATTTCTGATGCTTATGTTTGACGCTTTTCCTTTGTTTATACACCAAAAAAAAAAAGAAATTTGGGCTGGGTACTATTTTTCATGTATTCCAACATCATAGCATTATATCTATAGATATATATATATATATATATAATTACTTAAATTATTCACCATTTAGTTTTTGTTTTCTACTTTTATTAAAAAGCCAAAAATAAATATTACTAAAAACTTACCCATTACTTAAATTTTGGTCATATTCACCCTAAAATCACTAAATTCTAAATTTCTAATATTGGTTCAAGTCCCATGAGATTTTCTTTAAATACTTTTGTTTCTAAGTAAAAGATTAGAAATACTAGCTCGATGGGTCACTCAATTCTATGGATTGGATTACATTATATGCACCAGAAACTTGGAACGTTGGTCGTTGATTGTTGAGAATCCCAGAATCTCATAAGCTATGAATCCGATGATCACTGATGCCAGCGTGGCAGTAGAACAAGCTCTTTGAACATGCGCTTAAAACACGGTATGCGGGACCACCCAGAATCTGTCTTTTTCCTTGTATTAAACTTCTCGACTAAGAAAGAAGTTAAAAAAAAAAAAAAAAAAAAACTTGTTGAGTAAGGGAGATGTTACTTTTCTTTTTGTTTATGATCCCGCATCATCAAGGGATGTCTTTCTTTGCAGATTGAAACTCTGAACCAGCTTTCACTTTCTTTCTCGTTTCCTTCATCATCGTCCCTCTTCCTTTTGATCTCATCTGATTAATTTCGTTTCCTTCTCGCTATCGAAGATGATGAGAAGCATCGGTAGCAACAGCGATATAGTGGGATACAGATTCCACCCAACTAACGAAGAACTCGTAGACCATTATCTATGCAACAAAATCCTCGGCCATGATTCTCTCGTCCAAGCTATAAATGAGGTCGACGGTATTTGCAACAAAGATCCCTGGGAACTGCCCAGTAAGAAATCTAAGTTGATTGCTTGTCTCTATACTAGTTTGTAACTTTAAAAAGACGAGTGTTTTTAACTAATTAACTATGGGGTTTTGTTTTTAAGGTCTTTCTAGAATAAATTCAGCTGATCAAGTGTGGTATTTCTTTTCCCGTCGAGAGAACAACAAACGGGTCAAGAGGACTACCCGTAGTGGGTTCTGGAAAGTAACGGGAAAGGGTCGGAATGTGAAGGGAAAGAGAGGGAGCGCCGTAAAGAAAACTTTGGTTTTCCATGAGGGTCGTACTCCTAATGCAAAAGGGACGCCTTGGGTCATACACGAGTATACTTTCACCTCTACGGTTCTTGACAACAAAGTGTGTTCTTTTCTTTATCTTATTTTCGAGAATTCTATTATCTCTCTTAGCTTTACCTTGCTTGTATGTGTTCATCAGTGGTGATTGATATTGAATTCAAATTTATATCCTTTGTTTAGTATCTTGATATTGAATGGGGAAATCTATAGGATCAGGATTGTTGATGGAGTAAGTCTTGATAAGTTAATTGCTTGTTCCCAAATTTTAACTTTAACTGTTGTCCGTCTTATCTTTGTGGAATTTCGTTAGTGATTTTCATTAGTTGGTTGGTAAGGTGGTCCAAATTGAAGTGCAAACTTGTTATAAACCAACAAGTTCACTGTTTTAAGTCATTTACGGTGGTTATTGATGCAATTGGAGGACAATGTTAAGTCGGAAGGGTAAGTTTGATGTGTAAGTTCTTTACGGGTTTTTTAATCATGAGAGTTTGAAAAAATTAACCGTCTATATATATATATATATATATATATATATATATATATGAAATTTTGAATTCAAGGTTGCAACTGTATTTTACCCTTCCACCTGTATTGCAGGGCATTTTTCTCTGTAAATTAAAGAATAAAGAAGATGAAAAGGCCAACACGTCAAGTGTTGAAAGTTGTTTGCCAAGTCAGGTTGCAGATGATGGGATTGCTGAAGTAAGATGCTATGTGCAAAGTTTTCTAATCAATTATTTGGACTGATAGAATCATTCTAACTATTTTTGTTATTGTATGGTTCAGAACATGTTAAGTTGTTTGCCAAGTCAGGTTGCAGATGATGGGATTGCTGAAGTAAGATGCTATGTGCAAAGTTTTCTAATCAATTATTTGGACTGATAGAATCATTCTAACTATTTTTGTTATTGTATGCTTCAGAACGCAATCATGTTTGATCCTGATGAGCTACTTGCCACATTGCAAGACTATGATGGCAGGGATGATGCTGAGAACAACTTCTCTTCTGCAATCCAACTGTCTATGCATGCGGAGCAGGTGACCTTTTGTGAGGATTTCCCACACTTCAGTGGTGAGCATGATAGGGTTCAACACATATCTAATTCCAATGAAGAGAATGATGACTCCTGGACTAGATATTTAGTTGATGATGACGACGATCTTAATGAAAGAAGCAATGAACAAGTTGAAAATGTGGGATCCAACTTATCCTCGTTTGATATGAGGGTAACCTGCCCTGGAGAGTCATCTAGAAAAAGATCACGCTTTGAAGATGGTGCACAATGCAGGGCCAACGAAAATGAAGAATGTCAAGCAACGGTAAAAAATTATCCCTTAACTGATGTTGAACAAATAAGGAAGAAGTGATATTATATAGAAGTTAAGGAGATATTAGAAGTAGATAGAAAGAATTACCTAAGAACTTATAAAATTAAGGACAGAAAGTAGAAGAATAAGGGAAAAGACATGAGAATTAGGGAAAAACCAGAACAAGTATATGAAGAAGAAAATTCTCAATCTCAAAATCTCAATCAATCCAGATCGCAACAATCAAAATCTGCCTCAACTCAAAAACCAATATAATTATTTGTAGCTACAACATAATTGCCTCTCTCATATGGGTGACTTAGGATATGTGAGTATTAGTTATGTAGGATTTCAAGCTTGTTAAAATCGTCATGGTAGGATTGTGTTTTGTCTCTAGCCAAAAAAAAAGGAAAAGAATTTTTGCCTGTGGTTATGTGTGAAAGACCCGCTTTGTGAGAGTGGGCTAGGGTGTAAGGCCCACCTTGTACCATGGGACAGGCTTTCCCACATGGGAGAATTAATATGTGCGAGTATTAGTGATAGAGGATTGCATGATTTTAACAAGTTGTGTGCTCTGTCTGTGGCTAAAAAACATAATTATTTGTAATCGAAACCCTGAAACCTTAAAATACAAAATACCAAATGGAAGCACAAACCCTAATATTTGGAAAATGACAAAGTATTAAATTATTTATGGTTTTAATAAGTGGTGTTTCTGTATCTAGAAAAAAAAAAAACATAATTATTCGTAACTAAAACCTAGAACCCTAGAATGCAAAATACCAAATATAATCACAAAGCCCTGATATTTGGAAACTGGCTCAAAATATTAAATTATTTAAATAATCAAAATGTGTGTAAAATATTTCGATCTAATATGTAAAATATAAAATAAAGTTCTAGATAATATATTTTTCAATTAATATACTTGCATTCTCCGTTATTTTTCCATGGTTATTAAAAACCTAAAGTTTTGAAATGTCAAAACAGAAAATTTTCTGGTAGGATCCATGGATGGTATCAATTTAAGAACTATAATCAACAACGATAGGTTGAATCTCAACAACTGGAATAATCAAGTCAAGGGATGAAGGGTTGTAGTTGATGGATTTTCTAAAATGACTCCTATTATATGTAAAATATAAAATAAAGTCCTGGATAATATAATCTAATTCAACTAATATACTTGCATTCTCCATTATTCTACCTCGGATAGTAAAAACTTAAGTTTTGAAAAATAGAAAAAAAAAATGTCAGGATCTATGGGTGTTAGATATGAACTTCACTAGTGGAACAAGTGACTTCAACAAAGCAACTTGCACCTTGTTTTTTAAGCTTACTTGGACATGAAAAAGTCAATTTAAGAAGTGTAATCAACAACAATAAGTTGAATTTCAACAATTGTAATAATTGAGTCAAGAGATGAAGGGTTGTGGTTGATAGATTTCTAATGATGACTCATTTCATGTGTAAAATATAAAATAAAGTCCAGGATAATATAATCCCTCCACTAATATACTTGCATCTTTCATTATTTTCCCATGGTTAGTAAAAAACTCTAACTTAAGTTTTGAAAAGTGGAAGCAGAAAACGATTCTGGCAGGATCCATGGATGTTAAATATGAACTTCAACAATGAAACAAACAACTTCAACAAAGCAACTTGCACCTCCTTTTAAGCACACTTGGACTTGAAAAAGTCAATTGAATAACTATAATCAACAACAATGGGTTGAATTTCAACAATCAAAATAATCGAGTTAAAGGAGTTAAAGGAGTTAAAGGATGAAGGGTTGTGGTTGATAGATTTTTTAAGATGACTATTTTATATGTAAAATATAAAATAGAGTCATGGATAATATAATTCCCCAACTAATATGTTTGTATCCTCCATTGTTTTCCCATTGATAGTAGAAAACACAACCCTAAGTTTTGAAAAATTGAAGTAGAAAAAAAAAATTCTAGCAGGATTCTTGAATGTTAAATATGAACTTCAGTAGTGAAACAAACAACTTCGACAAAGCAACTTTCACCTCATTTTTAAGTACATTTGGACTTGAAAATTTTAATTGAAGAACTATAATCAACAACAATAGATTGAATTCAACAATTGGAATAATCAAAGTCAAGGGATAAGGGGTTGTGGTTAATAGATTTCCTAACATGACTCGTTTTATTCCATGTAGCAAAATTAGTTGCATCACATGTAGCTAAATTATTTTTCAAAGAAGTGCAGTTACATGACTTACCTAGGTGTACTGTATCTGATAGAGATTTGAAATTTATTAATTATTTTTTAAAGAGTTTTTGGAAATTATGCGAGTCAAACTTGTTATTTTCATCTGCCTTTCACCCTGAAATCAATGGTCAAATTGAGGTTGTGAATCATTACAATACTCCCCTTCATTTGTGAATTAGACATGCTTTCTGTTGCAGAAGATGGTCTTGATTTGCTGCAGCCTTGGCCTCCCTTAACTTTTCATAAGTTCTACATTGCTTTATACTTTGTCTTTTGGGATGCTCAATTAATTGTCTGCTCATTTTTTCATTTTTGTCAACAGTATGAGCAGGTAGTAAGTGCTTCAAGCACACTTGATGAACATGCTGGTTCAAAGAAATTCCAAGCAATGGCAATGGTTAATGCACCAAATTGGACGATAACTGCTGTAGAGCATGATCCTCATGGAAGGGAAAGCATGTTATCTGTTCATAATAAATCCAGGGAAATGGATGCCCCTTTTGTTGACTCAGCTGTTGATCTCCGTTGTATTGTTCGTGTTGCATTAGCAGAAAGTGTAGATAAGTCTTTAGTTACAAGATTCCACAACCCTCATTATCAAAAAGAAAGATCTAAAAATTTAACAGAGCAATAACATGATCCAAAAAAAAATCGCTAAACACGATACGTTTTCAGGAAAAATAGTCTCCCATGACAACGTGAAAACATCAACCTGCATCAAATGGAAACATGGCAATTCACCTTAATTAAGGAAAGGTGTTCTCGAAATGAAATGCTCAGGTTTATGTCATTTGCTCCTAACAAACGAGATTGATTCCTTTTGCAGGATATAGATGTACAACAAATCACTGCTGTTAATCTGGAAAATGCCGTTATGGACTCTAACAGGAAGTGGGAAACAGTAGAAAAAAACAATGGAAATACAAGCTTGCAGATGCATTTGAAGGATTCAACTGACTCTGAAAAAAAAAGGTTTCTTCATATGCGTAGATAAACCTTCATTAAACCATGAATCTAGTCCACCGGCAGTATATTTTGTCAATTCACTTGTAGGCATAGTTTTGTTTTTAGCTGTCATTTATGAATTGATTTCGATAGCAATTGGTCCTAGGAGTTGAAGAAGAAAGAAAAAAAAATCTCTTTACTGTTCTCCAACCCAATATCTATATTTTATCATGGCAAATCACTATCCAATTCCAACAAATTGAAGGCATGTGTCACCTAGGCATTGCCGTTTCACATATAGCTGATAGGGCGACCTTCATCAAATGCTTCTGTTACTTTGAGTTAGGTTTGTCCTGAGTCTTAATCATGAATCTGTTTATAATATCTTCATATTTTATATTTGCTACTCTTAGTTAGGCATCTTTGTGTTCTGTGTATACTCTGCCCCTGCAGTTAGTGCAAGGATGGCAGATTGCACTGTCCCAAAGTTTGTCATGCATTTGCTGAAACAAGGAACTAATAAGATAAGTTTATGATGTAACTGTGGTTTTGATGACTGTTGCTCTAACTCGACTCTTTTTCCTGGTGCCTGTATCAAATAACTTTACTCCGGAAGCTGTGTATGACGATTTGGTTCTTCCACCCAAAATTGATGATTGAAATTTTCTTAGAAAGTCAATTTTCTTATTGGTGTTACTTTTCTTCTTGTATGTAAGAATTAGGACTGAAAATTGAACTTCATTTGTTTCGAGAATTCACCTCAATACTCAAGAAATGCAAAATTATGTAATATATGAAAATTGAATGCAAGTCTCCTCACTGATTCTCTTAAAGCGCTCCACTTTATTTTGGGATGCCTTGCTGTTTATTTAATTTTAACTAATGCATCCGCATCTATAACTATGATTCCATGAATAAAAAAACACCTGCATACATATTAGTCATTCATGATTGAGATTTGCCTCACTATTTTTTTTTCTCCAAAAACTTGATTATGCATTTTTGTGCCCTGCTTATCACCTCTATTTTCCAACTCTTAAAAGTTCATTCTCAATTAATAACTTGAATAACACACCGCTAGAACTTGACTCTCATCTTTACAGAATCTCCCAAACATAGCATTAATCTGCTCTCTCTTTTACCCCTTGCTTCTTTCCTACACAAAGTGAATGGGAATACAATTGATACACATGGTTAACATTTCGAAGTTATCAGAGTGATTTAAGAGCTAAAACTATGCTAAAATGCCTTGCTCTTCATACAACCATTGCATGAACTCATGAACTTGCTCTTACCCTCGTAAAGAAATGGGGTGCTTGTCAGGGAACATTCTAGATACCCAACTTCAAAATAATTTCGAGAGGTTTGATTTTTTACATTCTAATCCTGATCCTCATGAAGATTCTAGAATCTAAATGAAACTCATTTCCCAAGGTTTGATCCAGTATACTTTCTTAATTACTATTGGTGGGAATAAAGGCTTCAGCCGTGGTTAGTGGGGAACATAACAAACTTACAAAAAGAAAGGCCACAAGGTGACTGATCAAAAACAGTGAAAAAAGAAGTATCAAGAAGAATTGCAGGGATGGTGGGGTCGTCTCGAACATGGCTATTGGCAAGCAATTTCTAAAAATCTCATGTAAATTAAATACCGGACTTAACAGTCTAAAGATTAACTGTTATATGATAAATGTCTCAAATACTTGTATATGCCTTAAATGTGTCATAGTAGTGTCATGCATTCACAAAGAATTTGCCACGTATTAATTAGTACACCAGATTATGAGCCTCAAACATCATATTCATGAAGTTGATCTCTTTTTTTCTTTAAGCAGATTAAAGATTGGAAATTGGAAAAAGTGCACGCAGTTTAGTGGGGTCAAGACGCAATCTTTCCGCACAAGTAAACTTAGTATGGCAGGAGTATTCTTACTGGCTCACTGTTCTATTTTTCTTCCTCCGGTGCTAGCTAGACTGCTCTTTATAATTCCGCTAACCCTAACTCTTCCTCATGCAGGGGGCGCAGAGCATTTCCACCAAATATCAAACTCCTGCTTTCAATTTGATTTTTCTTGTTTCTTCTTCTAGCTAGTTATTTTGAAACTCTGGATGAAATGAACTACATTAAGGGATTCAGATTCCACCCAACAGACAAAGAACTCATCGAACTTCTATGGGAAAAAAGAGTACTCGACCGTGATTATATTGTCCAAGTTGGTGGTTCCCCCGTTCAAGTCCTAACCCAACTCAAAGACATCTGCGAGTTCGAACCTGGGGATTTGCCTGGTAAAGTACTTGTTGCATGAAGTTGCAGTTTCGCATATCCACTTCGTAATTTTTTTTTTTTTTTTGCTTTCTTCGTTGTTGTATCTTTCAGGGCTTTCGGAGTTAGAGTCAGGTGACAACGCTTGGTATTTCTTCTGCTCTCCAAGATACAAGTACCGCAATAGTAAACGAAAAAACAGGGTTACGAAGAAAGGATACTGGAAACCAACGGGGAAACCTCGTGAGATATTGACAACATACGATGGAAACGAGATTATTGGAAGCAGGCAGACTTTGGTATTCTACCAACGTCGTGTTCGTGATAAAATGAAAAATGAAAATAAGACCCCCTGGGTGATGTATGAGTTCGAGCTCACCCTTAATCTCCCTAACCTAGTATGTTCCATACGCTAGCTGCCATGCATGGATCAGATTGCTTTTTTTATCAATAATTCGATCTCTTTGATCACAGCAAATCAGCAGTAATATTTGTTTCGAGCTGCATCAATGATGCAGCATCATAGTGGTTTTCAAGGAGTTTTTGTTGAAATTTTCCTAAATTACATGCATGGTAACCCTGTTTGTTTGTTGTTGGAATGAATATTAGCATATTTGTTATAAACTCAATAGAGAAAATTGATTTTTTTTTTCTGATAAATTAATTATAAACGTGATGAGAAAAACCTGGAAAAGTGAATTTGATGTAGTTCTGTTTTATTTAGTGAAAGGTTGCCAACATATACTTTTTCTTTTGTTCTTTTCTCTATATTTATTACTATAATAATAGTGCGTCAACATTTTTTGATGGGTGTAAAACACTTTTTCATTTATTTTTGTGTAGAAAAGTTTAACTCTATGTAAACTGAAGAAAAAATATGGGAAGGTAGAAGTTTCAAGCGTTGAAGAAGGCCAATCAAGTCACGGTTCGCCTTCTAACTTAGAAAACCACCGTACAAACAATGCAACTCCACAGGTAGATGCCTCATACGAAAATTCTTTTAAGTCATTAATTTCTTTCAGTAAATATTGATGAACATCTGAATATCTATTGCTTATTTCTCTATGTTTCAGGTCCAGTTAAACTCTAATGAGCCATTGACAGAGCCGGTAGCATTCACTGAATATGGTGAAATTCAATCTCAACTTACCACCAATGAACAGGGTAATATTGAATGTGTGGATTCACTTTTTGTTAATAATGATGAGTTGTACAGCACACAGAATTACTTTGTTGGTGAGAATGAAGGCCCGAAGCTATCCTCTGACTTCCAATTTTATGTTGCGGATAATGATATTCCAAAAGTAGGCTTGTGGGAAATACCTTTTTCTCGTCATTTATTCATGAGGGTGATGATAACTTCATCTAAAACCAAATTTTTTATTTTGCTATGATTCAGAACCAGGATGGCTTTGATAAGCTAATAAGCCAACAGCAAACAGCAACTAATGACAGTGTTGAGACCATAATAACTTCCTTATGGGGTTCGACTCTCGTTGCTAATGATCAAACCCACACAAAACAAGGAAGAAATCAACATAATACTTCCTTTGCTGAGCCTGAGAATGAGGGCTCTAGCTTGGCTTTCAAAAATGTTGTTGCAGAGGACTCCATTCCAATGGTAAGCTTTGTGAGAAAACTTTCAATTAAATTATTCATGCATGTGATGATAAATGATCAAGAACTACTCTGTCTTTATTTGTGATTCAGGTACATTCAGAATTTGATGAGTTTCTACGAAAAGGGATGTTCATGGCTGAATTAGTACCCATGCCAAAAGCACCTAAAAACTCTGATGGGGTTCAAAATCATCTGTTTAGAACCAATGAACAGAATGATGAGTTTTGGGATTTAATTTCCTTCACTACTGATGAAGTTGAAGCTTATCCCGAAGTTTTCAGAAGCAGCCAACAGAACTTAGCTGCTAAAAATGAGGGCTTAAACTTCACCTACATGAACACAGTGGAATCACCTAATAACACGTGCCCAGTGGCCAATGGAGTCTTCTAGGAAAAGCTACGCATCGAATCTGAGGGCTTAACCAGTGAGGAAGACATTGAGGCGGCTCCAGCTGTGGAAGAGAAATACACTTTTAATACAGAACAGGCACAATATGATCCTTATAATAGAGGTCCGAATACAATGTAAGTGTTACGTACAATTAATTGGAGAATTACAGAGATCTAAATAAACTTAGTGCCGAAGCATAGGGCCCAGGGCGTGTATCAGAGTGTAGTAAATGAGAATATGAATATCTATATTCTATAGTTTGAGAGGGTGGTAAGCAATGCCTTGGAAAATTATTATTATTATTATTATTATTATTATTATTATATATGATGAAAACAGATATTGTTGTGAGTTTCTTATATCATTGATCTTTCATTGTTAAGTCCAAGTAATGGTGAAAGAGTATTTGTGCTTAAATACAGTCTTCATACTAATTATTGTTTTATCAAGTAATGTCAACTGCATGAGACTTGAATTTGATTATAGTGAGGATAAAAAGTCAAGGAGAAATCGAAGGAGCCAACAATATGTTTTCTACAAATAAGATCTCATTCATGGCAGCTGGAGAAATCTTAGAGTAAACTTGAAATTAGAGCTGCAAGCAACAGATCGCTGAACCTGTGAAGTCAAAAATAATAACTACGATAAACAGAGAAATATATCAGACCAAGAACACCATAAATAGTTAATCCAGTACTATTATAAATAGTTTTGAGCAAATCCTAATTTTTGTGATGCCTCATCAACATTGTTTGCACCACCTAAAAGATCTCATAGAGATATACTGCAGCCAACAATCTCCAATCTTTTCACAAATGCTACCTCTAAGTTCCCAATTCAGCAATTTTTACAACTGAAAATATTGTCAATCTATCTCCTATCCTCCACTCTACTTAGTCCCTTCCACAACTTTTTTTTTCTTCTGCCATCTTGCAGACCTTACCCTCATCCATTCTTTTAACTCATGGGCAGGTCTCCTCCCTACGCAGCTAATAAATACTAAAATGAGTACCCATCAATAAACCTGTTACCAATAATTAGACAAACCACACTCTCAAAGTTCACTAGCCAGAGATACATCTAACATAAGTAGCCAACTAAAAGAAGTTGTAAATATGCACCTAGAGAATCAAGCTGATGTCTTCATCAGGTTCCAGATTGCAAGAAGAAAAGAACATAGAAACATATAGTTTCCAAGAATTACATCCACCAACATCTACAACTGGCATTAGCAAAGACGTTCATCAGAAATTATATACAAACCAAACACATCAGAAATATAGAATCTGAAATTTATCTGCTCTTGATAAGATGAACAAACCTTTCGATAATCCAAATAAAAAGAAAGAAGAAATGCTCATGGACATGCCCCATTCTTCCTCAGAGCTTTTGACAACCAAACTTATGTCTTAGATCACTAAGGCACCCAATTTATTATAAAGAATTGAAGAACTACTGAACAGTGTTAAATTTAGATAAATGATTCCAGACAATTGAACAACGACCAAATTTTCTGTTTTAATAACTAATCAAATAGCCAAACACATATAAACTGAATGGTAATGCAAAACAAAACAATTCAATTGTACCTGAAAATGGGGACTTTATTGGTTGAACACATTGTATCGTAGATGCCTATATGCTTTTGGATTGTGCAAGATTAAATGAATCAAAACAATCTACACCAATTTTCTTTTTTAAATCATAAACCCAATTTTGTTTAAACAAAAGCAAGAAACTAAAAGAAAAAAATCGAAAGGTTATTTGAGAAAAATGCCAAAAAAATTATTCTTTTAAGCTATTAGAAGGGCTTTACCATGAGCTCACATTCACTATACTCATCGGCAACTGCTTTACAGTTCTCCTATAAAAGAAAAAGTTTACATGAGTTAATGATAAAGTGGAAAAAAAGTGATTTTTACAAATAAAAAACAAAAGTAAAGCTTACACATTTCGTCCATCGAATGTTTTCCCGAGAGTATTGAACGAACAGGGTTTTGACCCGAAACCCGCACTGAGCACACAGATATTCCATTAACCCGAAGGATCGATAAAAGGCTAAACTTCGGTTTATGGATATTTTCTTTCAATAGTGTAGATTTGATGGTAAAAAGGCTGGACTTCAACTGCAAATTTGCAAAGGCGAAACTCATTAAATTGTTTGGGTCGTGAATTATCTGGGGAATGCCCAATATTTTGGGCCATGCGTCATAATTATGGGCTTTGATTTTTTCTTTAACAAACCACAATAAATTTAATTTGCATGAATTTTTGCGCTCTAAATAAAATAAAATAAAAAAAGATACCCTTTTACACCAATTAAAATTTTCTTAATCATAACTTTCATTTTTCAAACTTATTGAGTTTTTTTTATTCTATAATTAAAGATAAATAATCTCTATATTATAAATCTCATGTTTTATTTTCAAGATTTGATTACGAGATTTTTAAATTAAAATTTAAAATTTTTAAGTTTTAAATTCTAACAATGGATTATTCCTATAAACATCGCTCAATATGTCCATTTTTAAAAGAACCCTCTCAATATTTCTAATACACTTACGATTCGTTTGGTTGAACCGAATAGAAATTCTATTCTTGGCAATTTTGGATGGGATCACCATTTCCATTATTTGGTTCATATTTGAGGTCAGAATAAATATTTTGTGGATGGGCTAATGGCGAATGGATAAAGAATAGACATTCTTAAGCTAAGTGCGGGTATTTTCAATTCAATGGAATAAGGAATTGCTTTGAAATTTTATTTCCCACCATACCCTTCTCTCCCCCAAATCTTCATGTTTGATCTCTCTCCACTCAAGATCTATTGCTCATCATGTTAGCCAATGTAACCGGAATAGATTCTGAGTGTTTTTCCTCCATTAAAATCTAAAAGTAGAAGCAATATTATTCTTTTTCTAATACCAACTTATTAACGGCTGTAATGGGCCTAGCTCGTTCAACAAAATTCAGAAGAGATCTGACACCAAATTAATTCTTGAGAATCCCATAAAATTCACTCACTTTCTCTATCTCACTTAAGAGTTCGCTTTTATATACCGATAATAAATTTTTTTAATTTTACAATTTTATTTAAAAAATTATTTCATGTTTATTTTTATATTTTTAATATATTTTTAAAAAAATACTTATCTTTTTTATTAAACATTAATTATGGAGTCTAAAATTTTTATTAATTATGAGATAGATAATTAGTAAGAAATCAAGGTAAATAATTGGCTGCATATATCGTTTTTTGCATATCCTGCATTATTGTCAAACTTAGATATGGCATTGAAAGCACAGAAACAACAGCGTGGTCAATGCAAATTTTCAGTCTACCGTCCTATTCCCATATATATACAACACCCAAAAGAGAGTTCGGGCATTCCACGCCTCCTGCAGCAGCCTCGAAATAAAGAGGAAAGAACGGTTTAAGCAGCCCAAAAGAAAAGAAGTTAAAAAGGGAAAACACTTAACAGTGAAATCAGAAATGAAAGGAACCACTCTTTCTTTTTTTCTCTTTCGCCATGATCTTCTCTTCATCTGCTTCGTACTTGCACATGTGGTTTCTTTATCATCATCAATTATTATGCCTATTAAACCTAACCTATGATAAACTCTCTTTATAGGGTGTGGGGGACTTCAATTTCAATGACTTTTTTTCTTTCCGAGTGTTGCTAGGAATCTTTTTTAATGAATAGTTTCACCCATCTTTGGCTTTCATATTTAGTATTAAAATTAAATATAATAATGTCCTATGCTTTAATCTTTCCAACATCTATGGCTTTAATCTTCATTTTATAGCACTAGACTATTCTAGACCCTATCTTTTCACATGTTATGAAAGCATCATGGAAACATTAAAAGATTTTATATTAGGAAAAAATGGGGTTCCATTGAGTTGCTTTGTTTCTGCAATATTACACACATATATATGATACATTTTGATGGTGTGTTAACTTTTTTGTTTTCACTACTTCATTTAAAGAGGATCTTATATTGGAAATTTTAATTGATATAATTCTTTTAGATGATAAGAAGGTGTTTCACAAATAATATCATGATGAGATAAGATAAAATGATATTATGAATAAAATTATATTAAATAATATCATCTTATATTATATTTGACGTATACAAAATTTAAAATAATATAATTTATTTATTGATCAAAATTATCCTTCAAAATTTATATAATTTAAATTATTAATATAATTTTTAAATATATAATAAGATATATAAATTTAATTTTATTGATTAAAAAATAACTTTTTTCACTTTAAAAGGAATAAATCTCCTTTGCATCCCATCTTTTTTTTAAATACAAATCAAACATGATATAAGATAATTATCATTTTAACATATTCATCATCTTATATATTAAATATGACTTAAGAGCTTTGACTCAAATGACAAACAGTGATGAGGAAATAGCATCTCACTGTGCCGTCACAGTAAGAGAATCAATGAAAGAGTGATTGGAAGTAATGAAACTGGAATCTTCAAAGTTCAAACACAGAATGAAGGGATAGAAATATTGATGTTTATTGCTTCTAATCTATTGTTGATATTTATAAACAGAGAATCAATAAACATAAAACATGTTTATAATCTATTATCAGGCAATTCCTGATGTAATGCAACTGTTATATATCTAATTAGTCAATCAGCCAATAATGTAATCTGTTTTTTTTTTTTTTTTGGTACAAGATGCTATAACTCTGTTAGTTTGATTACAAATCCATGGGAAAAGAAAGCCTAGCTAGCTACTCATTTCATGTTAAGTGAAGGCTCTCGGTGAAGCAAACACTACCAACTTCTATATATTCTTTTGCTTAATATGGCGCAGATGTGTCTCATATATAAATGTATAATAGTTTGAGACTGGTGCAATGTTATAGGGAAGACTGAAGAATGGAGAGTAAACACAACAATACTATTTTATGTTAGTTAACTTGCCTAATCAAATGGAAGTTCATCTAGTGTAAACAGACACGTATCGATATGTGTCTTCGCATAGATCCTAAATACTGCAATCATCAATGCATATGCATAGTATTTTACATCTTTTCTTCAATGTCTCAAACTAATGAAACAATAAATATAAACCGAAATATTGATCATTTCTAGGGCCTCAGCAAACCGTATTAGAACACTGCCTTTAATTTCCTTCGAATGAAATTTTATAATATTGTTTATATATTGAATGGAAGTTGTAGCATTGATCAGTTAATGTGAAAAATAATACACCATGGTTGTATGTTTTTATAATAGTATTTATTTAGTTCAATATTGTACTGCATGGCCACAGACAAAAACAGAAGATCAAATTATATACTGAATATTACATTATTGCACAACTTAGAAATTTATGCTTCCACAAGTAGGAAACCATTTGCACAAAGGATCGCAAAGCTTTTATCAGAAATTCGGTTTCTTAAGTTTGATCATCCGCATAAATCAATCCAAAAGCTTTTATTTTTCTCTCCTAGTTGTCTTACAAATTAGAGAATTTCTATGGGGTAGTGGTATCTGATAAACGTATATACATTTCTACGTAGCCATTCTATATCTAATACTGTCGACATGGTCAATTTTATACATAAGCAGATATCCAATCACCGAAATATAGAATTATGCACAATAAGTAATCATGGCTAGCTCAAAGCACGAAATCAAGTCAATGCATGATTCAGAATCTCAAAACCATCAAAATAAGACATGTACAGAAGTTGGTCAATCGAATGCCATGAATGATATGCATTTGCAGAAATTCAAAAACCTGTCAAACTATTCATCAAGGCTAAGGCAAACATCAATACATCTAATAGAGCAGTGACCATAGTACCACGTATGCACAAATGCCCTTTATATAGCTAGAGAAAAAAATACATACATAAATGAAAGTGGAAATGCATTTCTCTTATCTGATAACGTGAAATAGATTCCAGCAAGTGTTATATGTATTTGTTCGTGAACGCAATTCAAATAAGCAAAGGACAAGGGTGAATTCACTGCATTTTTATGCCTTACTACTATTTCAGTCGATTTTAAAGCCATATAATTCAGTAACCAGAAGTGAAAATAATTGATTGAGAATGTTAAGAATAAATATTTTGAGCTACCAATTACCAATTCAGTATGCATGACAAGAGAATCAGACATCTTCAAGTGCTACTAGTGGATTTGAATGCTTATAAATTGCTGCTATACCCATCCTAAATATATTTATTATTAGTTGGATCAAACATTATTAATTTTAACCCATTTCATGTCATTTGAGAATCTACATTTGATGTCAAAGTCTACGCTAATTAATTTTCGTAGCAATCTGAACTACCTGCTGTTGCACATCAGTGTTTTCTCGTCCCTAGTCTTGTAATTATATAGTTGTAAAAAAGGAAATTTCATCAATAAGAACCTATGTAATTAATGGCAGAGTTTCTAGACAAGTAATTTTTTTTTATTTAGTGGCATGGGGTTCCTGTTCTTTTAATATTAATCAATAATTGTTAGATGCACTGACAATATTTGATGCAAAAATAAAAAATTAAAAAAAATTTTGAACAAAGCTATCTGAATTCTTACAAATATTTGGTGAAAGTCCAGTCTCAATAGACCTATCAGTTGGGAATCTGAACCCTCTTTAGCACAAGAGACTTTTTTTGTGTGTAGCAGACCAGACAAGATCATGGCTGTAAAGAGAAGACACGAATTACCAAGAAGTAGTAAAGGAAAATCTAACTGGCAACAAATGAGAAGTGATGATATGTAGGAAAATTTTCAAATTAGCAATAAGAATACAGATAATATCTTTTACAGTGCTTCAACTTTTCTGCTGCATTACCTGCAAGCCTGCAGCTTAGTTGTTCAGCAGCAACAAGCCAAGAAAATATGTATTAACCTAACATGGAGAAACGAAGGAGAGAAAAAGAAGCAAAGAAAGGTCCTTTTTTCTAGACTATATATCCATCAGCTACCCATGCATAACAGCACAAGTAAATGCATGTTGTCAGTCAGGGAAGAGGGAGGGAAGGAATGGGAGAGAATGTACAGATGATAAGATAACATATACCTATCCCAAACAAACTGGGGAAAAGCCAGGCCATGGCCTAGCAATGGAAAAAAAAATGATTTAATAAACAAGTTGGGAATATGCTTATATATCTGTATATGTATTATACACAATTTTCAACTCCATATGTTGCACCTTGTTTCATCTTTAGCTCTTCACAGATCCCAAACCTCAACTAACTAATGTGCTAAAACAATATTTAAAAGAACTATAAATAAAAAGAAAAAACATACTCAGATTGCTTAAATCTTATCTTCAATATCTTTCAACCCTCTCTCCTAAATCCAGTGCCTGTCGCAATCTTGATTGCAAGGCAAAAAATAAGAGAGTGAATGCAACCGTTCACTGTGCTTCTCTTCATCAGAGATCCAAATCAATGGACAAGGAAGATTTTCCTTTCTTTGAATATTCAGCTTGCATACAGGACAGTGGGGTATTATTATTATTATTGGACAATCTTGATTGGAGATCAGAAGAGGAAGTGAAATGAGGAGAGTCATCTAAAGCTATTGTGGCGTGAGGAAAATTCGAGGAAGATTCGTCTTGTGTAGGACTAGGACACTCCATGTTCACACCAAACAACCTTAGCCTTTTAGCCGCAGTTTTATTACCCTGAACGACTGGCACTGAATCAATCACCATTGGCTCTCCTCCTCCTTCTTGCACTTCCCCAATTTGATCATGTTGATGATGATGATGATGATGATGATGTGACCCAGACGATGACCTTGGATAATGCTGCGCCACATTGCCATAAGTAATTGCCTGATGCAGCTGTTGTTGCAGTTGCAGTTGCTGTAGTTGTTGTTGCTGTTGATGGTGATGATTATAAGGATAAATGCTGTAATTCAACCGATGCAAAGGCTCATAGTTTCGTGAAACGCAAATGGATTGAGGCAGCGAGTAGAGTCTACCCCACCGGACTGACTGAGGAAAGTTGAACTGATTTTGGAGCTGCATATGTGCAAGCGATGTTGGATCAGGTGCATTAGGCCTGCGCCTCCAATCAATGTATAAGTGGTCTTTTCCTGACTCCCCAATACCCCGTTGAAATGACACGACATCACCTGCATCAAGCTTTTTTTCCTTGACAAAACGGCTCCACCCTTTGGTCATCACATAACTCTGGCTACTATTCCAATACGAGTACCGGAACCGCCACGACTTGCCGTTCCGATCTTCGAAATTCAATAACAGCCCTTTTTCATTTGATGAAGAGTCAAGTGGGAAGTACTTCTCGGCATGTTGCTTTGGTATAACAAGGCGATTGAGCTTGCCTACATCGCTTGGTGTGACAACTTTATCAAACATGTGTTCTTTCTCAATAGACCTACTACCATCACCTCCTCTATAACTTCCAGTATTTGATTCTTCATTGTTGATGCCAAGTGAGAAGTCCATCAGCTCTAGTTTCTTGCCAAAATTGATTGCAGACTCTTGAGTTTTGCAGTCTTCTCGAGAATCCAGGGTTCACAGCCACAGGTTTTGATGTTGCTCAGGAACAGTATCTTTCTACTTAGAAGAAGCAAAAGAAGAGGAAGAGGAATATGGGAAGTTGCTTGTAATTTCTCTTATCACTTTCTATCATCTTCGTGATGTTCATTATTACAAGACCCACAAAGTTCACTAACCCGCCTCCAAATTTTACCTTCTTTATCAAACTAGATGATATGATTGAGATGAAAATACAACCATAAAATTGATGGCAAAATGGGAGGAAAAAGTAGGAAAAAAAAAAGGTCGGTCTAGATAGCTGCTATGAGACTTTTCTTTTCTAAGGAGAAATAAAACTTAAATAGGACCTGACCTGACCTGAAAATTCCGGTTTCTTGGAAGTATGATTTTCTATTCTTCTAGATCTTTGAGGGCTGAGGGAAGCAAAAGACAGGTCTCTCAGAACTCAGTAAAAAAACGACCGGAGTCGTGCCATCTTCTTGGACCAAAAAAGATACACACTGAAAACCCTAAACAAGACAAATTAAGGCCATGGAGGAATCAACAGGAAAAAGTTATTTCTCGTGGTTGACCTAGCATTTGGCTTACAAAGAAAGCAAAAAAGAAAAAAAAAAAACCAAAAAGGAAGAAGAAGAAGAGAGAAGTGGCCTTGAGGAGGAATTAGGCTTTAACCCAAGTTTTTTTCTGCCTCCTTCGAAGCTTCCTTCTGTGCCAATTGCCAAAGCTGAAGCCTATATTTGTTTTTCTTTTCTTCTTTAGGTTCTTAAAGAGAGAGGAAGATGAAGAGAGACTGGTAAGGTAAAAACTCTTACGTAGGGGCCCATGAATGATCTGGTTCGACTCATGTGAGCTTGTCCTTTTCATCATTTTTGGTTTATCTCTATTATCTTCTCTGCTAAGACCGAAATGGCCAGTTGGTCTTTAACTCTCAACCAGCCTTTGTACTGATCAAAATTTGCCCACAAAGTCATTTCCCATTATTATTACTACTACTATTATTACTGCTCCTCTTGTTTGCTTACCATAAGGTTTTTCCTTCTTTTTATTTTTTTTTTGGTTGGTTTTGGTTATAGACCAAGCCAGTTGAGAAAGAGAGAGAACATGCTATAGTTAGGTTTCGAGTTTTGACTTTGGCATCATTGATTGTATGCTGTAGCTGCTGGTCCTGCAAAGGGAGGAAAAGTTGAGGAGTGGTGAAGCAGACCGATCGTCTATCTTAAATGTTAATTGATTTGGGATTGAAAGCCATGATCAACTAACTTGATCATCGAGTCATTTATCGTAATGACTTAAGTTTAATAATCAAACTACTCTTAATAATTTTATTACAAACAAAACCATTTACTTAAAAGGAAAAAAAAAATTCTAATAGTGAATTGCTTATACTAAGAAAAAATTAATAAAATTTTCGAACACCGTTAAAGTTTCATTTGTAGCTTTATCCTAAAATTTAAACAAGAATTATCTAAATAAATTAAATTAGTTTAATTATTTAATATAATAATTATTGATTTACACTATAATTTTCATTAAAAATATTTATTAATTTTTCATCATTAAAAAAGTAAAAATTTCATTATGTTTATAAAAATTTCATTTCAAATTAATAATGACATTGACGTATTATATTATAAAAGCTCAAGTTATAGAGAGGGGATAAATGTACGTACCCTCTAAAATTAAAATAATGGACAGTAAATATGAGTACTAAAAGGCAACCTAAAATAAACCCAAAGCATAATCAAATTCAATTTCATTTATACATACATAACATTTTTATTGGTTCAAAAAAAAAGCAAAATTTTAACTTTTAAGAATTAAGGATGACCCAAAACGTTTTAAATTAAAAAATATAAATACATCCATTGAAGATATTTAGTAATTAATAATTATATATGTAAATGAATTGAAGACATTTTATAATTAATAATTATACATGTACGTGAATGATGAGTCAATTAATTAATAATTACTGTATCTTTGCTTGATGAGTAGGGCAAATAATTGAGGAAATTAACATAATTTCCCCCTAATCGAGGCCTTGTTTGGTTTATTGTTGTTTTTTAAAAAGGAAAATAAGGGCTCCTTTATCAATGTGTAAAATTGTGGGTAGTTATACGACAAAATATTCTTTCCCCGTGTCTGCTAATTGAGGATCTTTGGAATTTAAGGAAACGTGCCGTTTAACAAGTCTTTTCAACTCTTCACTTAATTGCAACTAAGTTTTTCTTCTTCCTTTTGGTGAGTCCATTCATATCTAGATTGAACAGCTAGCAAAATGATTGTAATAATTATTTATTTTTTATATATGGACGGCAGAGGTGTCATAGCCGGCGAGATCTAGTATTAATAATTTATATATTTATTTAAATTTTATTTAATTTAATATTTAAAATTTAAAATTTTAAATATTTAAATTAAAAAATAAAATTTTATATATTTATATATTTTATTCGAATAAAATTGAGCTCAAATTTTAATTTTTTATTTAAATTTTGACGGCAGAGGTGTCATAGCCGGCGAGATCTAGTATTAATAATTTATATATTTATTTAAATTTTATTTAATTTAATATTTAAAATTTAAAATTTTAAATATTTAAATTAAAAAATAAAATTTTATATATTTATATATTTTATTCGAATAAAATTGAGCTCAAATTTTAATTTTTTATTTAAATTTTAACTTAAAATTTAAATAAATTTACAAATTATACTCAAATCTATTTAATTATTTTTAATTTTTTATCAAATTGGGTGTTAACATATAGAACAATTTTATAGTTTAGGTGTAATTTTTCTATCAATAATATTTACTTCTTTCACTCTTAAAAAAAAAAAAATGTCTAAGCCCTTTTAAAACTTAGGTAAACTTTCGAGTGTAGCCTAACCCTTACAAATGTCTAATCAACAATATAATTTTTTAATTTTACAAATGATTTTAAAAAATATTATCATGTCTCTTTTTTAATTTTTAATATAATTTAAGGTATATGTATCATCTTATTAATCTAATTTTGTGATGTTAAAAAATCTCACTTATAATAAATCAGATCATTTTTCTTTATAATTTGTTAGTACTATAATTTTAAAGTGTTACTTAAAAATAATTTTATTTCCAAAAAACGTTCAACTTAACATTTGCCATTTCTTTCTTCTTTTGCAAAAAATAATTTATACTTCAAAATTACAGTAACTCTTATATGAAGGGCAAAATGCCTTCTGTAACCATTTAAATTAAACAATAAACAATTTTGTTTTGGGATCTGAAAACAACTTGATTGAATTCTTATTCCATTAAATGGCAAAAAAATTCTTATTCAATTGACAGAGGTATATATATTCCTTCTTATGAATTTAATTCTTAATTGAATCATTCACTTCATTGACTGTTTGGATTAATGGTTTAAAACTCTTTCCAATTTTCTTTGTTTGGATTAATGGATTGATGGATTAATTTTGAAAATCACTTGGACTTGACGAAGGGGGGATTGGGATTTGGGTAAACATCTTAGATTTGAGCTTTAGATTATTAATTTTGTGTAAAGGTTTGAGGAATTTTTTTAATTCAGAAAAACCCAACATAATCTTTAAAAATGACAAAATTAAATCCTAAAAAATAGTAATTCGGGATAAATCTTCTCTGCTTACACCATTGGCAATCACATACTTTCCATAAATTCTTCAATACCCCGATTATTTAAAAAAAAAAAAGTAATGGAACGAAATCGCAAAGGATTGAAGGTTGCGTTGGACTGGGATGGTTTTACAATGAATTGGGTTTTAATCTTCATACGTACAACTGAAATTTGCTTTCTGCAAACATAAATAGACATCAGCAGTAGATGTGGCTACTGATCCCTGTGGTCCAATTAGATCTTCCACTTTACGTGTTGGACAGAAACCTTCATCAAAACCATATATTGTTTTCTAGCGTTTGATGGATTTTGACAATCAAAAACTGGGTTCATTACCCAATTCTTATATACGCTAATTAAACAAAGTTTTTTTTTATTATTTTTTCTAAACAAGGAGATTTATTAGTAATAATGAAAGATTAAAAACGAGTAAACTAATTCAAAATTTTAATTCAATTAATTTATACAATCATTTTTAAAATATTGTATCTAACAAATATAAAATTCGAATTCAGTCTCTATAATCTTTTTTTCTATCTCAAGCTACAACCTCTTTATAAAATAAATCGAGTTTGTGCCTAAATATTTTTAGAATGATAAAAAATTTAATAAGCTATCTAATACTATGGATTAAGCATGAATACTACAGATTAAGTGTGTGTGTCATTCACAACATAAATATAATGCCGATATGAAAAGTTTAAGGTTAATTCTATACAACAAAATACTATTTGATGATTCGAACTGATTACTCGAACTTGAATGAATATATTGTTATATATTATATCAATATCGTTTATGAATGATCCCATAATTGGATTATCAAATCAAATAACGTTGTCCAAATTCTATGTATTTCTCAAAACTCAGATAGGATCAGAGATTTCACATATGTACATGCATGGGCTATTGGCCTGAAAGACACAATATATTGCCGCATGAAACAGCTAATGAGGTTTGACGATTGAAGAACAAGTCCAATTTTAAATTGTTTTCGTTTTACAATGAGAATTAATTTGTTTTGTTTCTGTTAGTTTTATGGTGCAGCACCCTCGCCTGCCCCAGTTATTGACTTGGGGATTTGCATGCCAATTTTTTCACTCTAGCAATTTAGTGTCCCAAAAATCAGTAGCCCCCACTATTCTGGACCATTTGTATTTTGGACAACTATCATGTTTAAATGTATTTATATTTTCAAAAATGAAAATTGAATGATTTCTAGGTAATATATATGTTATAGGTTCATATGTATAGATTATGTGAATATGCAAACAGAGGGTAGAAACTAAGGCATAGGAATTTTGAATAATATCAAAAGGTCATTAATTAAAATATTTGTGAATGTGTTTGAAATCATATATAAATATTGTATTATAACATACATACATATGTTTGTCACATGAACATTTATGTGGACAATTCTTTTGAATGACACATAGGATGATATTTTTAAAAAGTAAGAAAAATTTTTAATTAAAAATTAAATAATTTTAAATTTATTCAAATATAAAAAATATTAAAATTATAATTGAAAATCAAATCAATTTAGATAAATATTTTTTAAAATTAAAAATCTGAAATATGGATTTTATCTTCTTAATGAATAATTTTAGTTGTTTACCAAATAAAATTATTTAAGAAATTACTTAATTATCAAAATCTTTCAAATATATTTAAAAATAAAAAAAATTAAATTTATCCAAATATTTCAACAGACTTTTTTATATTAATTTGAATAAATAAAAAATTATCTTTTCAAAAATTTTCATAAGACATTAAAAATTCAAAAAAATATATATATTAAATCTTTAAATAACAAGATCATACAAAAGATTATATCCATCTCAATTTTAATCATCAAATTTATATTTCAAATATATACAAAAATTTTGATTTCATCTTTACCTCTTATTATATCCATTTTAAATTTTAAAAAAATAATTTAAAAATGATCTATTTAATCCTAATTACCACTAAAAAATTCTTATACAAATTTAAGATTATGAATTTAATGTGTTATATCAGTTTTTTAGTTTTTTAGTTTGCAACTTTTTTTCCAAGAGATATTCTATTACTATTGCAATTTATTTTTTTATTTATAACTTTTTTTCCAAAATATATATTTTTGCTATTACAATTTGTTCTTAGGAAAAATAAATTTTTTAATTTATTTTTTATTTTTCACATATCTCCTAATATTTTTCATATTTTGTATAACAATTTAGTTAATATATTACAGAAGTGAAAGTATGTTACTACTTTTTTTATTATTCAATTCATCTTTCAATAATATATATACGTTATTTTTTAAGAAATGCATAATTTATTTTTATTTAATATAGTCCCATAGATGTATAAATATTATTGTAGACAAAAATTATCCAAAGGGAAGACAATTTTTTTTACTATTTTTAGAAAGTTTATTTTTTAATTATAATTTTGTATATATTAATTTTATATATGTCATAAATTTTAAAATTTTGAATATAATTTTGAAAAGAAACTAATTTATATGTATATACTCATTAAATAAATAAAATTATTTCATGTATTACATGAGTCATAATATAAATTTTTAAGATAAGTTTCATCAACAAAATACAAAAATGCAAAACCAACATGTAATTGTAAAGACTTAACAAGTAGGTTATTTTTTAGTGAATGTTTTGATGAACTGTTCAATTTTCAATTAAAATTGTTCAATTAATAGATATGATC